TGGGTTTAATCTTGTTTGATGCTAGATGTCCTTACCCAAAATTTCTATTACGTTTGCGCATCATGGGTGTCTAATAAAGTACAAGACAATAAAGTGGTGGATCACGTCTGTATCTTTATTAAAGATGTACGAAAGTAAACATAAATTATAAATTCTTTTAGGATTTGCTCAAATCCAGTTAATGTTTACGAATCTTAGGAAATAGTTTGAATTTCGTTTCGTACATCTACTTAGTATGGGAAGTAATGAAGTTTCAAAATATAAATTTTCTTGATATTTAATGGTTTAGTAAATGGGATAGGGTAAAGTTTTGCTGATAGATGGGATAAAAAAAAAATTGCTTGGGTAATTTAAGTTATAGCTAGGGTTAGCTTTGTTTTTTTGTTTTTGCCGACTGATGTCAATGTAAAGTAAAGTAAAGTTAAGGTTAGGAGGGAGATGTGCGAGGGATTTTGTTAAGGTTTTGCTCCCGTAAAGTCTTTGCAATAAAACTTTGCACTCAGTTAGGGTTCTTTTCCCGTAAAGCTTTTTTTTTGCAAGTTTTGCAAACTTATTGTGAGGGCTAGTCTGTAGTAAAGGCCACCTCCCAGTTGTATTTATGTCCTTAAGCAGGTAGGGATTTTAGATAGGACCGTCGAACCCTCTCGATGTAGTAGGTAGGAAAAAAAAAATTTGTTCGGTCATCTGGTATGACGAAACAATTTTTTTTTTAGAGGTGCCGGAGGGATGTAACGTCCGTGATGTTACAACCTCCTTGTTAAGGTAAACTCTTTGCTTTTGCAATGCCTACGGTTGGCAGTTATATTAAAAAGTTAATGTCATGATTTTAAGATTTGAAATAAGGAATCGTCTGTCTTTTGATAGAAGGTTCCATTGATTATTAGATCTTCAGGCGCCAAGAATTCCTCTCGTATTTAGATAAAATACTTTTATATTAGCCTGAATGATAAAACAAAATAAATAACTTATCTCTATCAGTATCTTTCAATTAACATCTACGCTCCCAGGTTCTATCCCTTCTGGGTAGAACTCTATAGTACCTACCTCTACACAGAGCTCAGCTGACTCGTTTGATTCCACACAATACAATAAAATCGTCTTAGATGCCTTTATTGAAATTGAAATAATAAGCACAAATGTCATCTTCACTTAAGCAGAGAAAAACTTTAAAAGTTAATAATAATTTTGTCACGATTGGAAATAGGTAAATGTTAAACAAAAAGAAATACTTATTGCAGTTCAATACTTGGGTCAGAATGAAATTTATAACCAGGTATTCAAAAGTACTTACGAGACCGGCGATGTAGGTAGGTACAACGAGGAACGAGGAACATTATTCATTTTTTTCACTAGAACTTTTTATCAAATCAATCACACTGGTAGTACACAATTAGTTGTTTCTAATCAAAAAGTATTTACACTAGCTATAAAAAGAGACTTAAATTATTATCTGCAAAATTGTTGCTCTAAACCACCATTTTGCTGCAAACAAAGGTAGGCATGTTTGCGGACGTGTCTTTTCACCTTTTTTAAAGTGTCCCTATCACTACTCACTGCACAAAATGCAACTTCTATGGTTTGGGGACTCATTCGTAAACCAAACCTACTTCGTCACACTCGCGATAGCAGTACACCATCTCTAAATATTCTTGGTTCGTATACCGAGGCATAATGAAATTATCACAGTGTATGTCACTAAGTCAAAATATGCTCACGTCCACGCGCGATTGATATACTTGCGACTGCGTTTTGCATGCAATCAAAGCAAACCACCGCGTGCGGGGAAGAGGGGAGGTGGGCGGAATTCACATCATCAAAGACGCCGCAACCGGCGCTAGTTGCCAGCGTGCGGCGCGCCGCCCGCCCGTGCTTGCGCAAAACAACATATTATTATGTGTGTGTGTGTGTGTGTGTGTGACTGTGGCTGTGATTAAATGTGTTGGGAATTTCATGACGTGGGCAAATCAGACACGAAGAGTTCCTTCCTTCACTAAACTCGTAAGTTATACCGATTTGCTCTGTATGATTTTTCCCCATTTTAAATAAGCCGTTTGTGCTTAAGTTTTAATTAAACGAGGCAACTAACATTAACAATAAAAAAGAAGTTCTTACACTAACAGACAGGCTTTACCGATTTAAAATCGTGACAGTCATATTAACTTTATAGGATTTTTAATTGCTCTAACAGAAGATTTATTTTATTGATTAATTACCTGTGCTTCATGAAATAATATTCAAAGGTATTGTGTATCAGTGAATAAATAATTATAATATAGCACCTAAGACTATTTTATTGTAATGTTTTTAAATAGTGTGGATCAAAGCGGAGAGTAGGTAAGCGCCGAGTCATCTGTGCGTGTAGTAGGTACCTACACAGGCGGCCGCCGCGCCGGTCGTCACCCCGACCGGCGCTGATCTCGACTGGAGGCATAATGAAGGCATTCATTAAGTTTCCGTTTTTTTAGTAGTGCTTATTTTAAGTTGCTTTATAACTTCTATGTAGACGTGTTTAAAATGAATAATTACTCATAAGGAAGAAATGACAAAAAAATAACCAAATAAAAAATTAAAAAACGAAAAATTTTATTTTAAAAATCTGAAAAAAATCAGGCATACTCTATACACGTAACCCAACAATCTCACGAAGTTTCATAGAAACATTCAATTTCACCCTGTATATGCATCGGTATTCTAACCGTGATCCTAGCATCTCATAACACAAACCATAGTGCTTACTCTGTAGCTAGGCTAAAAGTGTGAGACTTTTGATATATAGTAAATATTTATAAATTTAGTATCTTTAAAACTTTTTACTGATGTCGATTCTGGCTTGATTCTCTAAATCTAAACTAAAATGACAATGCCAGATTCTGAAAATATATACGATTTTATCTCGTACTGATTTAATTATTACTTTGTATATTTTGCGGATACAAAATAAATATTCAAATAATGTGTACCTACTGTTTCCGTAAGGAGAAAAACGAAAACATGGCATATGCGTTTTATTGCACGAAAAATAATAAAATATCAATCAAGTTTACGAAAAACATCGACAATAAAATATCTCTTTCTTGACATTATTCATCTCAAACGCATTTCGTTTATAAATATAATTAATTTATGTTTTAAGTAAGTTTAACAATTCTAGTACCTTTTATTTTTTATGCGCATACACATTATTAAGTGGTAGTACCTACATAGGTACTACCACTTAATAATGTGTTTCACATGAAACTAAACACCATTCTGGATTGATACATAGAGGTATAAGAATAGAGTGGGGAAGGCGGCTCTAAAAGTGTTCGTCTAGTGGAAAGAGAAAGGAGATGAGAGACGGCTAGCCTTTCTCTCTCTAATCGCGAATGCGCATTGGATGAAAAACCTACAGATGAATACCGACCAATCACACGATGCGCAGCGTCATAAGAGAGATAGCTAGCCGTCTCTCATCTTCTTTCTCTTTCTACTAGACGGACACTTCCACTTGTAGTAGAGTACATATCTGAAGTTGAATAGATACACCCGCAGTGTTCTTAGATAATATATCGATATCACTAGATGAGTAAATGACATAAAGTTAATATGAGTGTTTTATTTTTTAAACAATCACAAATGTACAACCTCTGCTCTTAAGCGCTGTAATCAAAGCATTAGTAATAATATAAATAAAATACACTACTATTAGAAAAGTCGTGATATACAACACTTCACTATGGCACTATTTGTTAGCTAGAGGTTTTGCTAGATCTAGAAGATTTCAAAAAAGGGACACATTGTTGCTTGTATGTATAAAATATGTCTCATGTAGCGAATATATATATATATACTTCATATTCGTTATTATTACAATTATTTGCACTATAAAGAGAACGATTTGAATGTTTGCCTGTAATGAATAAACTCGGAAAACCCTCACAGACTGATAACAAGCGAAAAACAGACGAATAGGTACCTAGAAACTACCTATTCATTTAAGTTATGAAAGCGCCTAATTAATAGCAATTACAATTTTCTACTTAATTGCAGCTCGAGAAACGTATGATAATTGTACTCTTTCTTGGTATATTATTAAAAAAAACGCAATTTCTAGAGAATTTACAACTTTACTATTTTGATTCCTAATATTACAGCTATCAAATGTCATTTATCGCATTCGTGTACACCAACTTTATTGGGTGGGTAAAGCCTCTATAGAACTTCTGGCATTGTCGTTTGACATCAGTGTATCCTTATTATTCTCTATATAGAATGAAAAGGAGACACTGATGTTAAAGTCAGTTTTAAGTTTAGAGAATCATGCCAGAATCGACACCAGTGTTAAGTTAATTTATGATTATTATTAATGATGCAGACACTAGAATTTCAAATAAAACAATAAAAACAACAACAAATTATATATATATATTTAAATATATATATATATATAGTTAAACCTATTAAAGAGAGCAAGTTAACGCAAGACTAAAAATTACATCCTACTAACTTGCACAGGTTTAAGATACATTTGCGTTTTGAAATTTCCACATTTTTAAAAATATGCTCTTTATGTATGGAAATACACGCTTGACCAATTATTTAATCGAGAACCCTTCCTCGGCGTACGGCGCACAAACATTCACTTCGCCACACACTTGAGCAAAGTACCCTTTCTTACGCCTTTACACGCACCATAAGCTATTCCCGAGGCTTAAGTACGAGTTTTTGACAGCTGCGTAACGCTAACGTATCGCATCGTTAAAGTTTCTATGAAAACTAAGCAGCGCCACTGACTCCATAAATAAACTAGCTTTTGCTAGCTATCGAATTTAATTAAAGACTAAGCCTAATAATAAGCCTTCCAATAGTATTTATTTGCTCCTGTACAAAGAACTTAGTATCGGTACCAACCCCCCATACAAAGTGGTTGTTCTCGTTTAGTTTATAACTAACTTCTGTACTATTGTTAAATTAAAAATTTGTAATACATGATTAACAAAATAATTATTATCTTTACTTACCATATCAACTCTGACTGTTTTAAGTGCAACTGCAATGGATGGATCCAGCACATTCTTAAGAGCTTCATCAAGAATTTGTGGGGAAATCAAGGGAAGTCTAACGTGACTTAACACTTCAAAGCAATGACGTCTCCGACAAGCCGGATCGTGTTCCAACCACCGTAAGGCTGGATAAAGAACCTATGAAAATAAAAGAAAATCTTGTTAAATGAGTATTAATATAGCTTGGGCATGCCGCATGTGGTAACTAAGTTATCGTTTAATTAATTTGGATGGAACATTTTATTTAACATGCTGTTGCTCTTTACTTTGTTAAAATTTAAGTACCTATATTGATACAAAATTAAAATGGTTTAGACGTAAATAATTTCATACAAAATGAAGAAGCGTCGTGTACGCGCCCTGTTTTTTCTTTAAGTTATGCAACGTGACACCTCTATTTGTTTTGTATGAAAAGGACGCGGAAGAGTCATAACATGTCGGTCTGCGTCTTCTCAATTCAATCCAAAAATCATTTATTCAGTTTAGGCTTTTACAAGCACATGTGAAAGTCGAGAACTACGCCATCGGTAAGCAAAACTACGGCGGAAGACCTTGTACTAAGAAGAACCGGCAAGAAACTGTTTCTGTTTGATCTATAGATATAGGATGTAAAAATAGACATAGAACCATTCGCAAGTGTTTCAACAATTTAATTGTGCATGGGTGCGTATCGGTGTTTGATCGAGAGTGATAGTGTAGTCAAGATATGCTTTAAACACAGTATACTATAACACAAATTGAATTGTATAAACACAACTGTTTTCTTAGTTTCATAGAATTTCATAATAAACTTTATCACAGAGGGCTTGACAGGAAACTGTTGGCAGTTGATGTTGCGCCTCTTTCTAACTTGTAACCACATTATCTCCTCACTCTGTCAGTCTTTATATACTAAGTCTATGGTGTGACACCGCACCTTGGGATTTACTGACTGAAATTTCATTAATGTCAAATTAAAGAATTCAAAAAATATAACATATTTAGGAAAAGCAAAAACAAAAATACAAATTAAACAATTCTTTGTGTTCGTCTGTGCAGGGCACGGTCCCCAAAAGACTGACAGCGTTACCTCGCTGTATCGCCAAACTAATGGGTTAAGCAAAAAAGTTACTAGATCTATGGCCCCCGTGGCCTCGAACAGGCGAGCAGTCATATCCTTTTAAAATAATTTTGCAGCAGAGCCCCAAGAACCCATTGTTTCCACAGTAAAAGACAGGAAAAAATATGTCTCACCCACATCCAGGTATTTGAGCCTTTTATTACACTAAGTTGCACAGGGTTCATCTGAACTGAGATCGCATCAAAGTGACATTGGGCCAAAGTATCAACGCATGTTGCATCAGGCATAAGTGACATACCACCTGGTCATCTGCCATCTGATCGCAAAACACCAGATGGCTCCAAGACTCCAGGTAACTACAGCCCTTCCAATGATGTCGTTGATTGAAGCATGCCTGCTTATACGCACGGCACTTCTCTACGACACAACAAGGCATGACGTCCTCCTTCATTTACCCGTTCTCCACAGCGGCAACGATGTGGTTCACTTGTTTTGATCCTCAAACAAAGTGCAATTGATAGTGCCAGGGTAGGTACAATTATCCAAAACTGAACCGATATTTGAAGAATGCATGAATGCAATCTAAAATGTGATTCCTTTCCACACACAGCCAAAAGTCGAGCGCGATCAACTGCGTTGTCACAGGCATCCATATTGTTGAAAGTTTGCGTTTGCAAAAAGGTTCATGCCATTGTCTCTGCGAGTGGAAAACGACAACACTCTCACTAGAACACAGCGCCACTCATTTATTCTTCGCCTCCGTAAGTACCGAAATCTCAACGGAACCCAGAGATGCGCCTATAATACTACCGCAAAGAAATTCCGATACATGAGCCGAAGAGAAAAAAGCCGGTAGAGCTATATCCGTTGCTGTCCTTGCACCAATCCCTCAAAGCGCACGGACAGTGCCTACGTTGCCAAGCAGAGGCTGGAGTTAATTAAAATTCTAGTTAGGGTAACTCTAATAAGATCATCTAAATTACGCATAAGGTTTGGGTATTTCCAAAATTGAGAAACACGAAGATTATAGGTATGTGAACTTGGGCACAAAGAAGCAACATTTTATAATAAAAAGATCCATATGAGACTTTATTTCAAAAAGCTGAGAAGCTTTTTCCTGAAATATCGTTACTTGTTCTTAAACAAACAAGTATATATGGATATATAAGAGTTCTTATCGAGAATCCCAATACCCGGAATCAGTTGAGTTAATATATCCTGTCCTTCAATTTTAGGCCAATAAACGAGAAAGAATCAATCAATGATTTAAGTTCCTCTAAAACTGTTTCAGCATCACCAGCTAGGTTCTGCTATCGTCGAAGTACCAATCTTTAAAGAACAATGGCGAACTCCCAAACTTTTTGTTGAAAATATTTTTGCGTCTAGAAACGAATTACATTTTAAATTATAGATTCGTCTTCGTATTCTCGATTTGATTCGTATTATTTCTTTTATTATAGGAAGTCTGGATTTATAGATATTCTACTTTGAAGTTTTGGAGGTTATGTCATACCAAGTAATACAAAAACGAATTATAAAAGTGTTTCTAGATCAAAATAAAAAATACATGGAACAGAACTATAGAAGTATAACGGTCCCGTAGATTAGTGACGAAAAAAGTGATCTGCGGCCGTAGGTCAAAATACCGTACAAACCGAGAGCGTCAAAATACTTAATAATACAGATATGGATTGTAGAGTTCGAATACAATGTCTGTGCTGTAAGAAGTACTTCACAATTTGAAAATGCCCACAGCAATACTAAAGCATTAAAAAGGATTTCTAATAGTGTTCTAAAGGGATATTAATTAAATATGAAACACTTTTTATACATTTTTTATTCCACATCTTTTTTATTTATTAATTTATCTTTGATCACAATATTATAGAAAGTACATACAATGAAATAAAATCCACAGTATGGGACTGAATCTTGTCCAAAATCCACAGCAAGAAGTAGTCCAAAATATCAGATTCGGAAGCCTTAGGCAAGCATTACTCAACAGTCGCAGGGGAAGATCTCAAAAGTCGAAAAGCAGTCCAAGTCACATAAAAAATCCACAATCTCAGAAAAAACACAATACGCCGATTTAAATCTTTGCAATACGCATGCACAAGCAACGACATTGATAACAACAACAATTCGATGACAAGCATGACAGTGACAGTTATAATTTTTTATCTTAGAATTGGCGCCATACTCTTTCTGTAGTTTTTTTGGAGGTTATTTATTATGATTTCAGTATAATATTGAAAAATAATGTTTCCCGATATTTTTGATAGATAATTAAATATAGTTTAAGCGTAAAGCGATACGAAACATACGAACAACATACTTGAAGTTGATTTATTCACTATAATCACTTAAAATAAATGGCTCAAACGCCATGATGCCAAGCTACAATGAAAAAAAATATAAGTCAATTGTTTTTATTTAAGTTTTTAATTCCAGACTTAGACAACTCTCCTCAATTATTAAATCTTTTGAGATTATTTTATTAACATTTCTGATAATGACATCTATAGACGCTAAAGATTTACTTCAACAAATATTTCGCCATTGTCCTTTGGACTTTAATTTCTGAATGATGCCAGACTAAAGATTGCAGGACCAATTGGATCTCCCTGCTGACAACCCACAGGGGACATAATTAACCTTTAGCGGTAAACTAAATTGGATGGCGATCCGTAATATTGTCAAATAAAATACAAAGAAGGTTCATGTTTTGTACTTAACTCAGCAGTATTCTTCTTTTGACTGAGTTAAAGCGTTCTGAACATCTACCTTAAGCAGGACCCTGCTAGCAAAAGCCGCCAAAGAAGTGCTAGTAGCGCGCACTGCCACTTCGCAACCAATTTTAGTGCCAAAGCCCAGTTTTATGGGCTGAAATAGCTGTCTCAAATTAGGTAACGGCTTTTAGCATACCTTTGACGCCAAGCGTCGCAAAGTGCTTCCAATGGCTATTGGTCTCACGCCTCCGTCCTTCTTGGTCAAGGTACAAATGGTAACTTCATAAAAAATGCATGTCAGAGGTCACATGTTACTTTTCCGAACAACATAACATTTATCTAAGATACTAAACTCGCAAGAAGCGCTCTGCCGCCATCACCCGTAGCGCCACTTACAAGATCTTTTATGTGTTGAGGTGTAAGACCAGTGAGACCTCCAGCCGAACCGTTTTTGAAAGAATTTATAGCTGCCAGCTCATCCTCCGGCGATGCCTCTATAACGCTCTTCGTGTCACCAGATGGCTCCGGCAGAAGAGGATCTGTACCTGGTGCTGGACGTTTAGACAACCAAGCCTGATACGTGTTGAAATTGTCCGAAGAAACGGTTTTGGAAGAAAAGCATAACCGTGCAGATCCTCTCACCCATCATCAACTTTGGTCTTAATCATTCTAATAATATTATTAGACCCGGTCCGAACAGGAAATGAAAGGGTAGTGTTCATTTAGACCATTATCTCTGATCTTTTTAGTCACTGAGGTACAGTATATGTATACATAGGGTGAAATTGAATGTTTTAATTAAACTTCGTGGGATTGTTGGGTTACGTATATAGAGTATCTCTGAATTTTTTCGGATTTTTTTTAAAATGGTTTAATATAAAATTTTGATTTTTTTTGTTATATTTTAAGTCCTTTCCTCCTTTTGGGTACTAAATAATTATTCATTTTAAACACGCATACAGAGTAAGTAAAAAACAAGTAATAAGCACTACTAAAAAAACGTAAAAACAGCAGACGGGCGGCCACTGACCGCTCCCGCCGTTGAATACCTTCCTACTTACCTAGGCGCGGTGCAAAGCGCAGTGAGCGAACGCAGTCTCACGTCTATCCACCGCGCGTGCGTATCTTTTAAATTTGTGACAAGACAAGATTTGCAAATAATGCCTTGATTAGTTCTTGTTCTGTGGCCTCAATATAAGAAGTTGGATATGGTGTGTAGTTATTGTAGTGTCACGGAATACTCAGCGGAGCCACAAGGCTTTACGAAAGTAGGTTTGGTGATTGATTCTGTTTACAATTGTATACGGGATGTTATAGTGGAAAAAATGAATAGGTACATCGGTCTCGTA